AAAACCATGGTGAAAAAATATAAAACTGCATAAATTGTGTCATATTATCTTGAACTTACAGATAACATTTGAAGGGTTGTACATAAAACCGCATGCTTGCATGGTAGACAATTTGTTCTTTCACTAGATTTTCTGTGATCTCAATTCTCAATCAACATTCCATCTAAATATAGGTATATATTCAACCCAGTTCAAAATTGAAAGCGAAAAAATTCTCACAAATGCGTTTAAGTGTTTTAATTGCTTCCATCTTCTTTTGAAGCGATGGCCTAGATATTTCTTACAAGACGTTTTGGAAAGTTGAGCTTATTCCGGAGACCGCTGACGTCATTCAATGCGTTTCGAAAAGTAAATTTTAAACAATCAATGGAATTAGAATTTTGACCATACAATCAGTGGAATTTTAATTTTAACACAGCTATTTTTAATGCAGATATTGAATGCGTCCCGAAAATAAAATTTCAACCAATCAGCAAAATTTTATATCAATTTTTGATGCAGATATTTGCAGACTAAAATGGAAATTATAGTAAAATAGAATGCTTTTAGTCGATATAAAACGGAGAATAATGAACCCTTTTAGTATTAGAAAGATTGGATAGGAGTTCTGTATATTCACATTATTTGTACAACTCTCCTTACTCTTGGGAATTGTGGACTTAACTTGCGACCTAAATGGTTCACCAAAAGTAGTATTTTATATATATAATAGTCAACAAAAGTAACGATACACAAGTTTTAACTCCAATTTACCGTAAAATATAATAAATAGGAAAAACTGTTAAATCATCGAATGAAAAACATTCATTTGCAAAGCAAATGCATATGATTAAAATAATCTGATTAAATTTGAAAGTGAGAAAATACCGTGTTATTAGACATAGGGGTCAAATTAATTTTGCGGAAAATTAGGACAAAAGTCGGCCCTTTATTTTGATTATGAGAATTAAGTATTCAAATATCTGCAAAGGCATTCAAAAGTTTACGCAGACCATGTTTAGGTTTGAAGGTTTGAGTTATAACATGGATTTTTCAATTTTTGGGTGAAAATACGATTTTTGAAATAACAAAAATTCCAAAAAAAAAAAATTACGGATTTGCCTTAAATTAATGGTTTTGATAAGAAAATAACACTCTGTAAATATTATACTAACTGGGAAAATATTTACCTTGGGATAGTGTATCCAATTTTATTATGTACGGATAAAACATTGCCTTGTACCGTTTCTTTTGTTGACTAGTATTGCATAGTAAATAATGTTATTTTTCTTTTTTTACCGGATTTTCGAAGTAAAAATCAAGTATTGAATTAGGGATGTACGGCGGGGGGCGGGCGATCGGCTGCCGAACAGTGTCCGTTCATTTACATGAAAACGCTTTGAAGAAATTTTTCAAATTTAGATATGTTGTTTCCTGTGACTTAATGAAGGTCAAGTTCAATTTTTTCGATTTCTATTTTTCTCGTTGTTCAGTTATAGCCCTTTCCCAAGAATTCAATTTTTTGAAGAATTAATTCATTTCTGTACAAAGAAAAATAACTCATTTTTTTAAAAGGTTTTAAAAAAAAATGTATTAATGATAAATGACATTGGATGTTTTTGTCTTTTCTTTGGCAAATTGTTTGAAGAAATTTGTGGTAGGCTTGTTTGTTATTCTGTATAAACTAACTTTCTGAATGCTATATATATAAATTTTTTTTATGAAGTGAACTCCTTTAATTAGATAATAATCTATTTTATTAAAGGATATATTTCATTACATTTAAAGTTGTTACATTGATAGATAAGATGCAGATCTGTATTAGTTTGTGACAAATGAAAGGAAAAATATTTAGAACCATTAATTATATTTGATTATAATTTGAAAATAGATATACATTGTGTTACATCATATCTAATTTTAGAGAACTATAAATCATATCTAATGTTAAGCCATATTTCTGTTCAAAGGGAAATAACCCTTCATATTTGCAAATATCATTTTCATTATCAATTAGATCTGGAAAATATCTTATCATATAATTATAATTGGAGTGACAGATTTATTTGAAAATTTTCTGTTTCCTGATAAGCTCTGTAGGACAGTATAGATAAAGTTTGAAATTTACTGTTCATTATTAGGCATTTTGAAGATAATTACAGATAAGTTTTATAGATTTTTAAGAGATATTGTAATAATGATCAATAACATTTTAGAATTTTTATCTTCTTTCTTTGGTACATTCATGCCCGCGCCGTAGCGGAGGGGGCATTAAGTTTTACCCTTGTCCGTCTGTACGTACGTACGTACGTTTTATTTGAACAGAAATGTAATTTATAAATTTAAAATCAAAAACTGATTCCTTTGGGTTCTTTGATATGCTGATTCAAACAATGTATTTATATTTTGGATACTAGACCATAATAGGTAAATGTCCAATTTAAATTTTTCAGTTATTTGACTACAGTCATTTTGTGTCACAAGCCTATGCTGTGTCAAATATTCAATCACTATCCAAATACAAGCTGTTTAAATTGACAATTGTGTCCATACTTGCTCAACTGTTCTGGTTTCGACCTCTGCAGGAAAATCCGGTTTGCTGTCACTCGACAGCCTCTTGTCTAAAGTTGGGAGAGCTTTGTTTTCAAAGGTGCCTACAAAATAAATTTGTACATATAACATGTTTATGCTTGAAGGTTGCATTTCTGTAAATATCAACAATGCAATTTCCCATAGGAACTCCTTTTTCGGCTAAAACTGTACCACTTTAACTATGAAGTTTTGGAAAAAATTATATCCTAGAATGGAAAGTTCATATGCACTACTATTTTTTTCAAAGGTCAAAATATAGGACTGTGCGGCATATTTTCAACGTTTATATGACCCGAACTTCTAAGAGTTTAGACTAACACTGAAATTCTGTACTACCCCATCCTTGACTTTAGGTTCCCACAGATTTTAATTTGACCAAGATGCATATGTATGTTTACTGTTAACATTCCCAAGTTATGTCTCTACGAGATGAAACATAGAGATCATATCTGAGAATCAGTGCGTAAACAAAATTAATTATCTATGAATATTATAAATCACTCCAAAAGAGGCGTGGTTTGAGAAACAGCTGTATTTACAAAGTGCAACCTGTAAGAATGTGCGGATGCGAATTAGCGCCACACAATTTGTTTTTAACACGTTAAACAAACATTAAGCTGGAAAAGATACTAGTCGGTGAAGATCTCGAAACTAATTTATAACGTGATTTCTTCGTCAGCAGATAAACTATCACTGAAAAGACATTAATTGTAGAAATGCGCCTCTAATGCATTGATATTGTTACCGTAAATTTTATTTAGAATAAAGTGCCCTGCTATGTACTGTATTGTTTGTTTTATCTAACTAGTATACATGTAAAGACTAATCGAGATAAAGCGCTATGTGGTATCCCAAAAATTTGTAATGAGGAATATACATTCCAATCGCTACACAATCATATACACTCTAAAAATGTTTCAAATTGGACCGCTTCTTATTTTTACATTCCACTACGTATAATACTACAAAACACGTTGTTGTTCACTTCACAAATAAACAACCGTATATGATCGAAATTAGAACTAAAGTTGTTCAAAATCACTAAACTTTAAGCTAAATTAAAAAAAGGAGAGTCTCTGACACTGACATAATCAAACAATATCATTCAACGGAACATTTGAAAAAAACTGACATATTCCTGACTTGGTACAGTCATTTCCTTAAGAAAATGGTATCTAAAGAGCAATGCAAAAAATATCCTATAATTAAAACAAAAAGTAAGAATCGAGAGATATCACAATAACAATAACACTACTTAATGTGATAAATTTAGAAATGAACAGATGCAAACTTTTAAAACAAGAAAAATAGGTACTATTGTACATCGACGTTCAAATCTTTAGGATACAAAACAGACGACTTTAACGGTATAAAACGAATCAAATAGAACTTGTCTAAGATATAAAGTAACAGTAAACATTACAAAGAGCATACTCAACATGCTAATTTCGCAATAATTAGCAAGCCATTAATTAAACAAAAATGAAAACAAAAATGGAAAATGTGACAAAACTGATATTCTGACCACTCCAAATTGGAACTTTTGTTTAAGAATGCACTTTTCAACCAATAACTCACATTCCAAATTATGTAATTATAGACACTTTCTGAATTCAATAAGGAAAAAACATAAGTGTTTTACTATATTACAGTAAACATGTGAATAAGTATATAACGTATACTTGAGGAAATGAATTTTATCCCTCTTTGTTGAGACTTTGTATGTGTATTTAACGTTTATACGTTACATGTATGTATGTCAGATACACAAATACTGTCTTCATACTATTATGATTAAAGTTTAAAAACGTTCCAGCCAAAATCTACAGAAAGTCAAAACTTTTATCATTTAAGAGTACACTACTAAAAAAAGGGCTTACATAGAACAGCAAAAATAAGAATGACTAATATCAATATTGCCCTGAAAATCGAAACCTTACTTTTGGTACTAAAACATTATTGTTTTCAGCTAAGGTTTTGCCATGTATCACTTAAAAACGCCTTTGTGTATGTCATGTCTACTCAGCAATCCATTCTTCTTTAAACAAACTGCATATCAGTTGATCCAGTTGAAGTAATATACTCATTGTATACTGGTATCCCTGCGATTCTTATGTATTTTACAAAGGTTGACCAAGACATTTCTTATAAACTATTGTTTAAAACATATATGGTTCTAAAAGATCTTATGTCAAAATAAGACGAACATCCTCATAAAAATTAGAAATATATGTTATTGAAAACTACACATCCATCTTCAGCATGATCAAATATCCATTATCCATTTTTCTCTTTTATTTCAGTTTTGTTGATCAGCAACTGAGAAACTTGCTTTTGTTGTTATCGAAAAAAGACAGGTTCAATTGACGGTTGTATAAACAAAATGTATATTTGATAAAGACAGTATGTAGACTGATAAGAATCTTCTTGTAAGGGACCTCCACGTGGTGAGATTTGGAAACAGCAAGACAATATCAAAAATTTCGTAACATCGAACCATTGCTGGCTAACGCCTTACCTACTCATGTATGTATTAAAAAACTTAAATCATTAAAATCATTTGTTTTAATTGAAATGATGCTGATGTTAATTAAATACATAATGATTTAAAGTATAAAACTGGGGGAAAAACAGGAAGAAAAAATAAATGGATGATAGGAACTCCAAATTGAGTGAGACAACATAGATAAACTGCTTTGCATGTATCATCTGTCACGATTGGAAGATAAAATCTCTCCAACGATTCCAAATTTTAATATCCAATAATATATGCCAATGCCAGGAACATCTTCAATCCTGTAAAAATGTCAGATTGACATATTTGACATGTTAGATCTATGCCAGTGTCTAAAATCACTAGTAAGTTGAGAAATTGAGCGCATATTTATTCAGCCATTTTCTTTTGTCGATAACACCCTTCCAGAACACCTGAGCTTAACCCAAAATTTTGATGGGGCTTGTGTTTCTCAGTCTTTAGATTTAGATTTTCATGCAGTAATTTTTTGAATGTGTTTGTCATCTCGTCTTCAATTCGTCGTCGTATTTCCATTAGTTTCGAATGCCCCTTGGTATCTTCTGCCTCTTTTTCCGCAGAATAAGATGTTCATATAAAATAAGTTACGCGGTAATAGTAACATCGCTAACACGCATATGTATGATGCGCCATATTCAGGCTGAGACCTCAACACATGCCCAATTCAATTTTCGGGGTTGCAAGTGAGGTATTTACCCCCACTCATTACATCATCTCTATCAAATAGCTTTCCAAGTTTACAAATGTCCAAATTAAATCACAGTATCCACAAGGGTATGGCGTACTATGTTTTTTTTTTCATCATTAATTGATTTCGATTGTCAACCGAATGTCAATCAGAGATTTTGACTCAAATCGTAATATTTTTTTGGAGTTATTCCATTATGATTATTCATCCATTGATAAATTTTCCAGAATTAGACCAATGCATAGCATACTGCTTACTCATAATAATGCGTTGCACTAGATAATGCGTCTCTCAGACTGTTTATGACGTCTTTACACTAAATATGTTGGATGTGTACTATTGGTTCTTTAGTCTAGGAAAACATGCTTTATTTATTAGTTGACCTACCTTTCAGCAACTTCGAGTACTCTTATATCGGGTTTAGAATTAAGTTATTTTTTATTTGTGCTTCGAACGATCCATTTAATTGCCATTTACAACTGATTTTAATATTTGTTCTTACGTTGTGTTATATCATCACTGTCCCAAGCAGATTCTGGTCTGATTAATTTAAATGTGATCAATTAGATTACAATTACTTTCAATTGTCAATTGTACGATTAAATTGAATTAATGATGACACGATTTCTCAAAGTAACTAGTTAAATTAATGATAACATTGGCAAGTAATCATGATTACATCTGATTACAAATAACTTCAAAATAACCCATTTGAATGATGTTAATAACTAGAGGTTATAAATGTAGCACTTTTTGAGTGGAGATTTTATGAGTTTCATTTTCAGAAGAATGCAATATTGGTTCTTAAAGTTTTGAATTGTATAAATTTGAAGTTGTCTTTGTATGTCCAGGTATTACACCTGTACAAAGTTTACTCTGTGCTTTGATTTTGACTTTTAATCAGAATGTTATCATACAGTAATCAAGATAACAAGGTGTTTTGAAAAATAATTTGTTAAATTAAATGACATGTAATCTGATTTTAGGCTGGTTAATGATAACAATGATAACGTGAAAAATTGTACTTAATTACAGCTTAGTAATGATTACAATCACCTCAAACCTGGTACTTAGTTGAGGGAAGGTTGCGTGAACAAAACAAGTTTAACCGTGTAACATTCATTTAGTGCCTGTTCAAATTTAGGACCCTATAATTCAGTTGTTGTAGCTTCTTCATGTACGTTGATCATAACTGTCATATTTCTTTTTCGTAAATTGTATTGTTTGAATTAGGCCTTCATTGTTTTTTCTTTTGAATTTATTACATTTTTCATGTCGTTGCTTTTTATAGCTATTTATGTGGTATGGATGTGACCTATAATTGTGTTTATCTCCGTCATTTGAGCTCTGGTGGATAAATATCGTACTACATCTCCCTATTTGTATATAAAGATCATGTTGATATGAGAACAGTACTTGCAACCTTAGACGTTATTATTTTAGCGATCAATCAACGATTATCGATCAGTTACCGATCAGTCAAGATCGCGTCAAACTCACGTCATCAATCCGTCAGACTTATAGTATAAATATTTGACTGATCGGACGGATCGGACGGATCGGACCGATTAACCTTTCTGACGGATTGAACTCTACTACGTCATATGATGAACTAAAACAAATTATGGAATCTTAGTTTCGTTTCATTTAATTAAAATGACGCCATGGAAAATACAAAACGTTCAAATACAAAAGCTCAACATATTTTTTTAATAATTATTCAGCAAATTTTTAACAATTTTAAAAGAAGAAAAATATGCAGAGAAAACTAAATTTAAATATTATTATAAAAGAGCGGTGAATTTTGTTTGTATTTAGGTTATATATTTTCAAACCCGAAGATCGAGTGTTTATCGCGATTGTTATTTTTTTTATTTTCCGAACATGCTCTTGAAAATGAAATGATATGATCATTTATTGCAAATTTCGGTGTTTTATTTTCAGTATGTTTAAGTATTTTTGTCATTATTATCCTAAAATTCTTATAAAAAAAATTATCGTGAGGGCTTTTAAATAACTTATTACAAATAACATTACTGGATTATTTTACAAAAAGCAGAAATATTGGTTATTTTTTAACGTTTAAACAATGCGAAAGACTTTTAGTATCTTTCCTCTGATATTCATTTAATTTTGTGAAAAACAACCAATTATAATGCAAAAAAAGTAAAAAAGTCAAATGTCGGTCAATCAATTCCATTAAAATGAAGAAATGATTCCTATTCAATAAAAACTAAAGTTTATGCCTATTTACCTTTAAACTATTCACACTTCAAACAAAATTATTTGTTCAAAGGCATTTATAATGACTGATTGCAATTGACGTTGCATTATTTCTGATATAAAAGAACGCAAACAAAAATCTAGTATTTTTTCCCTGAAATTCAACATAATGTATGACAAACAACCAATCTTGATGTACAAAAAGTACTGAAATCAAATGACGATTCATAATTTCTATCAAAATAAAGAAATTATTGCATTCGTATTCACCACAAACAAAAGTTTAAGTTTTTTTCCCTTATATCATCAAAATTCGAATACAAAAATTTTATCTTGAGGTCTTTGAAAAAACTAGTTACAAAAAACATAGCATTGTTTTTTAACAAAGATAGAAAAATTGTAAGTACAAAAATCCAATGGCGGACAATAATTTCCAATAAAATAAAGAAATGATTGCATTCTTATTCAACAAAAAAGAATGTATGCAAATTTATCCTTAAAATATTCACATCTGATACAAAAGTATTTATCTAAATGCATTTATAATGACTGATTGCAATTGACATTGCTATATTTCTAATATAAAAAAATAATATTTGCATCTTTAAGCAATACGGACAAAAATTTAGTATCTTTTCCCTGAAATTCATAATTTATGAAAAACAACCAATCCTGATGTACAAAAAGTACTAAATTCAAGTGGCGATTCATAATTTCTATCAAAATAAAGGAATTATTCCATTCACATTCAACACAAACAAAAGTTTAAGTATTTCCTCCTCATATTATTAAATTTCTTATAAAAAAAAACTTATCTTGTGGTGTTTGAAAAAACTAGTGACAAAAAACATATTACATTATTTTTTTACAAAAGTAGAAAAATTGGTAATTTTAAACAATGCCAACAAAGTTTTAGTATATTTTCTCTGATATTCTTTTAATTAATGAAAAACAACCAATCCTGAACTATAAAAAGTACAAAATCCAGTGGCGGGCAATATTTTCTATTAAAATAAATAAATGATTGCATTCTTATTCAACAACAAAAAAATGTATGCATATTTATCCTGAAATTATTCACATCTTATACAAAAGTACTTATCCTAATGCATTTATAATGACTGATTGCAATTGACATTGCATTATTTCTGATATAAGAATTAACAAAATTGCATTTTTAAGCAACACGAACAAAAATTTAGTATCTTTTCCTTGAAATTCGGCATAATTCATGAAAAACAACCAAATTGAATCCTGATGTAAAAAAAGTACTGAAATCAAATGGCGATTCATAATTTCTATCAAAATAAAGAAATTATTGCATTCGTATTTAAAACAAACAAAAGTTTAAGTATTTTTTCCTGATATTATCAAAATTCTCATAAAAAAATCTAATCGTGCGGTCTTTGAAAAAACTAGTTACAAAAACATTGCATTATTTTTTAACAAAATTAGAAAAATTGGTAATTTTAAACAATGCGAACAAAATTTAAGTTTATTTTCTCTGACATTATTTTAATTTTATGAAAAACAACCAATCCTAAACTATAAAAAGTACAAAAATCCAATGGCGGTCAATAATTTCCATTAAAATAAAGAAATGATTGCATTCTTATTCAACAACAACAAATAATTATGAATATTTATCCTTTAATTACACCTTATGTAAGAATCCTGGGTTTTGATTGGTTGATAGCCAGTGTATTTTTCACCCATTTACTTTTATCAAATGAATATCGTTCATTTTTAAACAGCGCCGGGGTATATGCAAAAAGGATATGCCTTTTTCACCCTCTCTGCCGTGGTATTTGCCAAAAAATACTCTATCCGACTGGACGCTTGTAATGTCACGATCATCAATGCGTTTTATGTCACGGTCATCAATGCGTTTTGTACGTTAACATTCGGTGTAATTAAACAGATATAGCATGTTCTTGAGGGGTATTTGCGAAAAATACCAGTCTTGAGAATGAATTTCCCTCGCCTTACGGCTCGCGAAATTTAACATTCTCTCGACTGGTATTTTTCGCAAATACCCCTCCTTAACATGATATATCTGTTCAAAATTATTCACATCTTATA